TCTGACCCTGACAACTGGGGAGAGAGGGCCAGGGGGACAGGACCAGAGGCAGACCAAAGCACGCAAGCAGCACGGCGAGCACAAGACACTGGGCGCTCGATTCCCCTGTCGGCGCTGAGCAACCATTAAGCTGTGCTGCTGCAAACCTGCGCCAGGCATGTTATTTTGAGCTCAGCTGTGTTCAGGTTGTTTTCTGCTTCACCGGGCACTCACAGGTTCCTCCTGGAGAGCTGACTTGCTGCCCTCCCATCCTGCCCCTACCCCTCCTTTCCCCTCTCACCCCATCTCGCAGTAATAATCATCAGTTTTTAACAGCATGTCCTACACTGGAGGTTTTGTATTTCCAGCTTTTAAAATGATTTAGTGTGACAGTTTAGTGCTGAATTAAAAAAAAGAAAAAAAAAAAAGGAAGAGAAGAAGCAGAGAGAAAAAGGAGAGAGAGTCCCCTTAAGGCAACAACATTACGGAGCAGTGATCTCAGAGGAACAAGGGTTCTTCTCCGGTTCAGATGTGCTTGTCAGGGCTCAGTGTCATCTCTGAACAAGAAATGTCTCTTGCTGGCCCAAGGCACAGTTTTGTGGTCAAGAGGACAGAAAATAAAGGGAGGGAACTTCAAAGAACCATAAGCTGCATTAGTCCGCTGGGGCGGGTGGCTGCGGTGCATCCCATGGCTGACAATTACAACCTGCACACCGAGAAAGCTTGCCTCCCTCTTGTCAAAGGGATAAGACACAGGCTGTGAGCTTTAGAGCTTTGAGGATGTGTACAGTTCTTGATGAAAGATAGCACTTCAAAGCCCTCCGCCTAGAAACCCAGGGAGAAGCGAGAGTGGAGGGTAAGCAATCTTTTTTTCCTGGGGGGTGCATATGCGGGGGAAGGATAAGACTTATTTTCACTGCCATTTATTATTGCTATGAAAATGAAGCCTTGCACTGTTTATGGAATCGCTCATTAAAAGGATCTCTTGATAAATTGCTTGATAAACATTCATTAATTAAGTCTCTCAGTGCACTTGGCTGACAAGCATTAGTCTTCATTTTGCAGGAGGGGGAAATTGAGGCATGGCGCTCAGTGAGCCCCCAACCAGCCCGGGGCAGAGCTGGGTCCCAGCCAGTCGCTCCGTGCCACCAGACAGATGGATTACACTGCTCCCTCTGTGTCCAGCTTGATTTTGATCCAAAGACAGCAGCAACGTACCCGGCTTCAACAAACTTCAAAGCCCCTGTCTCCTCGCTGCTGCCCAGTGCCCCCTGGGACTGCAGGGCAGAGGTGGCTGTGCAGGTCTGGCTCCTCCATGGGCATCTTGGCTGATGCCCCGGGCGCTCCTGGACACCCCTTTCATCTTGCAGGCAGCACCTCCACACCCACAGCCTGCCCGGGGTTATGAACGGAGACACCTTAGCTGCTGCCCTGCCTCCACTTACTCTGCGATGGAGATTTTCCTCATCAGGGCCCTTGGCCAAAGCTATTTGGGAAACATCTACTTTAAGATGCCTGTTGGGCCCTAACCCCCACAGTGGCCCTGGGTTCAAACGCTGGGGACTCAGCAGGTCTCCCGGGCCGCAGCTGCAAGGTTATTGTGGTAGAAAAGGCACCACCCTCTCCTGCTCTCCCTGGCATACAGCAGGTCTGGAGCAAGGAGAGGCGGGAGAAGGCTGAACTGCCTCCAGCCAGACCCGTCAGGGAAGCCCACTGCAGGAGGGAG